AAATGAGGTGACATCTTCCTTCAACAACAAAGCTCCCAGCTTCTGGGATGTCACCCACTGCCAGAGTCTCCAGAGCCAGAGATCTGGAAGGAAGATAAAGGAGGTGGGGCAGTGGAGATGAAGGACTGCCCTGGGAGCAATTCTGGCCAGTTACACCTCGGTTGCACCGAGTTGTTTTTTTTATAAGAAACAGTCACAAGCAAAGAGTTGTGTGTAGATGAGGAGACACTGTATAAGCACAACAGCTGGAATGGATAAACGTTTGAAAACCCAACAGTAGTGGTGTTATTTAGAAGACTTATACCCATATTTGTAACAATGTTACTATTCACCTGTTGCATAATAAATAAGTGTGGCAAGTGTTACGTCTTGTATTTTTGTGTTATCTGTAACACAAAATACGACATCAGATACCATGTCTTTGAAGAAGACAGAGTTCCATCTCTTTCAAGAAAAATGGAAACTGGAGGAAGAATGTCTCAAATTTGAAAGCTTCTCTAACTTCATCCCGACTACACAGTTGGTAGGCCTGTGCAAAGTAGCGAGTATTCACTTTGGTTTCGGCCAATTCGGGGGACAGCAATTCGATTCGGTGATTTGAAGCACTGTCCTGACTCGATTTGGCTGAATCTGATTCAGAGATTCGGCTGCTGCTGAATCAACTGAACCTCCAAATTACACAGGCTCCATCCCCCACCCGCTCTCAATGGCTGTCCCGCCTGGCTCCAGCTCCTGGCTCTTTGAAAAAAAAAAGCTGGCACTCACCGGCTGCTGCCAGGAAAGGGTGGGGGGGGATCCCCAATGCCCCCCCCCCCTGTTCCATGTGGCAAGGGGGGCTCTGCCACGAGCCCTCCAACCCTTGCTCACTCTCTCACCCCCCCTGCATGGCTGCCCTTCCCGCCCCAGCTCCTGGCCCTTTAAAAAAACAACAACAAAAAAGCCCCAACTCACCGGCTCCTGCCAGGCGGGGAGGGTGATCCCCACTGCCCCCACTGTCTCAAGCTGCATGGGGGGCTCTGTCATTAGCCCCCAGAAGCTCCAAGGCTGCTGCAGGAGCCAGTGAGTTCAGGTTTGTTTGGGGGTTTTTTAAAGGGTCAGGAGCTGGGGCGGACAGGGCAGTCCTGGGGGGGCTGGGAGAGCAGGTAGGGGTCAGGGGGCTCATGGAAGAGCCCCCCACACAGTGTGGGGCAGCAGGGGGAAGTTGGGATTTCCCCCCTGCCTGGCAACACCTGGTGAGTGTGGGCTTTTTTCTAAACAACCGGGAGCTGGGGCCAGACGGGGCAGCCATTGGGTGGGGAGGGCTGGGACAGTGATTGGGCATTGTCAGGTGCTCAGGAGGGCTGCAGGAGCAGGCAGGGGATGGGGCCTGGCGGGGGTCCCCCATGGTCCATTTCCCTCTCCTCTAGCCTTCCCTCCTCTGCCCCCTACTTACCAACATGGAGTCTGGGTCCAGCTCCCTGCTGCAGCCGGCAGGGACTGCCCGAATCGCCAAAGCTCTCTGCATCTTTTCAAATTGATTCAGAGACCTTTGAATCAATTCAGACCTTTTCATTGATCCCCTGATTTGATTCAGAGATTCAGCCACCGAATCGGGCCAAATCCCCTCCGAATTGAATCACCACCCGAAGCTTCACACAGCCCTAAAAGTTGGACCAGTAAAAGACAACACCCCAAGAAATCCTTGTCTGTCCAATAAAATGTAGGATCTTATTAATTCTTTGTGGAAACAAATGGAAAACCTGTGTATTTGGCTTGGCTTGTAAGTAAGCTGTGGCTGCTTTTAAAGAGCTCCCCAGGCAGAGACATCATGAGTCACGCCATGGCATGAAGCACAGCAAGTTTATCAAGACGATGCGAAGACAAAGTAAGTAAACTCGAACAGTGGTTATGAAAGCATAAAAAGCAAAAAATAAATCTTCCTCAAAGCCCTGGGAGAGCTCTAGTAGAAATGTGTGATGAAGACAGGGTGTGCTCAGAGAGCTGCAAGCTTGTGAATATATCAGCCTCTCAAGAAACAGTAGGTGACAGAATCTGTGACTTCTCTGATAATTTGCAAAACCAACTCCAGAACAAGGCAAATGCATTTGCTTTTAACTTTTCAATAGCAATTGATGAAAGCAGAAAGGATTGTGACATTTCTTTGTGAGCTGTTTGTTCCAGATCTGGATCAAGATCTGAATGTCACAGAGGAGTTTGTGCCGGTCAAAGACAACCTCATTGGGGATCATCTTGACCTTCATTCAGGAGAAGACATTTTCAACAGCCTGACCCAGGCTTTGGACAACTTTGGTGTGGACTGGAAAAGGACAGTGAGGGTTGCAACAGATAGGGTTCACTCCATAGCGGGAAGGAAGGCAGGATTGGTGGTGAAACTCAAGTGCAAAGTTCAGAGGAAAATACTGGTTTGGAAGCAAGTGGTGACTTGCTTACAGTGGCCAGGAGCTTGGTGCTTTTCATTTGCATTCTGGCCAAAGGCCATGTGACGAATATTGCAGTAACAATAGTGAATATTATCTGAGCCGGAGCTCCCAGCCTTTGACACTTCAAACAGCTCTTGGAGGAAGCATGGACAGGTTCATGGATTTTACTGCTATGGCTTCATGATTTGAGTTTGACCCGCCTGACTTAAGGGATGGAATCGAGAGCAGGGTATCTGCCTAAGGTGCCCTGCTTAGTAAGAAAGGAAATGAATTATATTAGAAGTAGGTAAAAGAGAGGACATTTGTCTTTCAGAACAGCAATGGTGCAGCTATAGTTTTTATCTTGTTTTACTTTAACCACATTTGTTTGACTAGCATTTATTTTCTGACAGAATTTATAGGGAAAGGAGGGTTGAATTTCTGAAACTTTTTGTTTCTCAATCAAAAACTTATTTTTTTTCCTGTTTAAATGTTAAAATATTCAGAAGGTTGCTGTTATTGTTCTTTTATTTTTAGCTTTTGACCTGGATGGGATGTTTTTCTCATTCACTTGATCGGTCAGAATGTGAATACTTTTTAAACTGAATTTTCAAAATCAAATATTTGACTCGATACAAGAAAATCAGAAAATCAGACTTTCTAAATTAAACATTTCAACAAATAATCCAATAGAAACTTTAAAAAAAAGGAAACATGTCTATGGTGACAACATGAATCTACTTGCAGAATATCTGTAAATACTAGTAATCTATTTTGTCTGGCCTCAGTCAAAATCAACATAAAATTCCCCAAGACGATGAGTACAGCAGATCAACGAATGCCCTGTGATTGTGAGAAACTCCACTAAACAAGCAAGCTGCTGTGATTTAAAGTATTTTCACCTTTTAAGTTGACTTATTATGTGGCCTCATCAGGTACCCACCAATTGAACCTCGTTCCCATGGAGCCTGGAGCTGGCTGGGACCTGCCACTGCCCCAAAGAACTTCAGGGGAGGGGCAGGTCCTAGCCCCCTGCCCAAATCTGCTGGTGGTGTAGCTAGCAGTAAGCCCCCTGGGGCCAGGAGTATTATCCCTGTTTGGGCTCTGCCTGCAGCTCCCGGGTGAAGGGAGAAATCTCCCAACCTCCACCAGGAGACAACTGTCTCCTGGACCTGTGCTCCCTCCCAGCCCCTGGGCTAACACCCAGGAGAGCTCTCCCTGGCTGTTGCAGGGGGCCGGCGCAGGGCCAGAGGAGGCAGGTGCAGATTGCTGCCAGGAGCAGTAAATCTGCTCCCACATCCCTGCACATGTAAATGCTTGTCCAGGGTGGGTTTACTCTAGAGTAATTTACTCTAGAGTAAATCCACCCCACAGCATTTGCACACGTAGACACACCCAAAGAGCATATGAGAGAGGGCTGCAGCCAGCACCACACTTCTCTGACTCCCCACCCCAAACAACTAAGTTCCCATTTGCTTGGTTAGAGGAGTGGGCCAGTAGTATATGTGGTAGAAGACCATAGTGGGGTATGTGCTTGTACTTCTGGATTTGTAGCAAACTGCCTTAACCACTCTGCCACCACAGCACCTTACATCAATGGAGGAATATTAATTCCACAATGGAGAGAACTCATCCACATAAAGGACTGTGAAAGGATATTTGACTTAAAATGGAAAGAACAACTTTTTAAATGTTATAAACTACTACATCTTACCTATCTTTCTCTCTATATAAGATAGAAGGTACCTGCTGCAAAAGGCATGAAGGCCTCCTTCTTCACAAATTTTCCTTCAGAGTCCAGAAAATTCTCAGGATAGAAATCGTTTGGCTGCTTCCACTGAGATTTGTCTTGCAGCACAGAGGACAGTAAGGGGATGATGTGGGTTCCCTGAAAACCAAATTTGTGGAATTATTACATGGTGGAATATAGCCCCTTGATTTTATTTATGGCAATCAGCATTACCAAACAAAGGCATATTTTTACTGACTCTCTCCAAACTTTTCAATTGGCATGTTTTACATACTGAATACTCCCCTTCTGCCAGACCTTAAACATGGGCTGGGTTCAAATTTGGCACCTAAAATGACTGGTTATCAGTAAGGTTAAAGATTGTCAGTAAAAAAAAGAAGAAAAAAAAGCTGTTGGGTTGGTAACCATGGCAACCCTGCTTGAATACAGTGATGGTTTTACAGCAGGGGTGGGCAAAATATGGCCCGTCAGCTGGATCCACCCAGCAGGCCATTCTGTCTGGCCTGTGGGGCCCCTCTAAAATTTACACAATTATTAGCTACCATTGGCTGCCTGTCTAAAAGCCAATGAGGCACCAGAGGCAGGAGCCACTGGCTGTAGGAGGCGCCAGCTGCAGCAGTAAGCAGCTTGGGCTCTGGTTCCTGTATGATCAACCTAACCCCAACCTGACCTGCCTGGCCTCACCCCACCCTGCCCTGCCCCCGGCAGCTTCTGGAGACCAGAAGCTTCTGGAGACCAGAAGCTTCTCCGTAGCAGAGGCTTCTGCCCTGGCAACCCTGTGGCTGTTCCCCAGCTCTCCCTCCATCTGAGGGTGTGGGGCAGCGCAGCATAGAGGAGACAGGTGGATGGGGGTGGAGACCTCCGGTGAATGCCCCACTCTGTGGGGCTTGCAGGACTATGTGCCTCCATGTTCTGCTCCTGGCTATAGTGCCAGGAGCACCACATGGAGGCATGGAGCCAGCCCACTGGCGTGCAACTTCCCACAGCTCCTCTAGTGTGCCACCAGCCATGTGGGTCCTGGCTATGGAGCAGGAACTGTGTGTGCTGGGATGGGCCAGGCTAGCTCCATGCCATGTCATGCAGGTCCGGGGGAGGTAGGAGTGCGGAGCTCAGATGGGCAAGGTGTGAGTGTGAGGGAGGGTGAGAGGGTGTGGGGACCCTCACACACACTACCCGCCATGACGCACAGACCCTGCTGCTGGTGGCAGTGGCAGCAGCAGGCAATGGATGCTTGGGGTGCTTGTGGCTCTGCTGCCTGGTGGCGTGTGGCTCCGGACAGCACTGCACATGGCAACAGCACATGGCAACAAGGAGCTCAGCAAGGCTGGCTGGCCTCTATCATGCAGGGCTCTGCATGGTGCATGTGCAGCTGCTGGCTCTCATGTGCCACCAAGGAAAGCCCTGAATGATGGAGCTGGCTGCCTTCCCCACCATGCTGGGACTCTGCCGGAAGTGGTGAGGAGCCCTGCCTCCTGCTTCCATGGTAGCAGTTGGCTCCAATGAGTGGGGCTTCTCCTGGTAGAGCGCAAGTGCTGGGAGCTGCACGTGTGACTCATGGAGCCCTGTGCAATAGAGGTGGGTCATCCTGGCTACACTTCTTGTCACCATGTACAGCTCTGGTCAGAGCCACATGCTGCCGGGTGGTAGCACCTGCGTG